AAAGCCCGAAGTCACCCTGGGAATCTACGAAAGCAAAGCGATCGCAATCTGACACGGGATGAGAGCAGACCGAATCCTCCTAGAAGACATCGCAACCACGACCCGCAGCGAAACATCACTGAGCATGGTACATGGCGCATGTGACAGCCAACCAGCCGACACAGAAGTGTTGTCTGTAAACTTCTGGGAGAACGCCCTGACCGCCTCACTTTGCTGGCCTGGTCCCCCTCGATGACCAGCAGGGGTCAACGGAGTGCGCGGGCCAGCTGACGGTGGGCACCCTGACCGCCGCAAGCAGTCAAGGAAGAGGTTCCGCGGGGTTCTAGGAGCTTTTCTCGCTTCTCGTGGGTTCGGCATGCCGTTGGAGGAGGGTTGGAGGACCAGGAGGAGGGAGGAGGGAGGAGACACTGCTCTGCACAACGGCCTGCGGCAAGGCGGAGGCGGCGGATGAGGAAGAGAAGGAAGAGGTGAACATTGAGGATGATGGCGTAGAGGATGTGCTAGCTAAGCAGGGGAAGGGCAGCTCACAGTCTTCGGAGGAAAACCGCGTTTGCGCAAGGGCCAGCGTCAAGGTGCCTCGGCCAGTGCGAAAGAGTCCGACTTCAGTGACGCTGGCCGACAGCCGCCAAACCTATGAAACGCGTAGATATCAATGATGCCGCACGGGAGGCTGATGGAGAAAGTGTAGCGATCTCGCAGTTGGGGCAGAGGCCACAAAACCATCACAGGGTAGCGGAGTGGGACACCACCCTCCAGGCGCTACCAAGTACCATCACGGAATGGTGAGTTGTGTGGTATATTTACATGGGATTGTCTGCGGTGTGCAATTAACACGATGATTGTCTTCCGAAGCCCTCCATTGCATGTGTGCCCATACTGCATGCGAATCAGGTTCCTGTTGCATTGACGTTGTACGCGCATTGGACGCGTATTGCATTTCTTCCCCGGCCAGTGCTTGCACAAAAGGGTCTTTGTCTTTCTCTGAGAACACAGGCATGGGGTGCCTCATAATGTTCCCCGGATGCCAAGTTGCGCCGATGCGTTGTGCCCACGGGGTGCGCAAGAGCTTGCGGCTGGGGTGCCGCAGATTTCTTGTTTTCACCGTTGGCGCCCATGGGTTGCTGGCGTTTGCTCTGCATTTGTATTGTATTTGGTCCCCAAGCATTGCTTGCAGGTAGCGTTCCCTTGTTCTTGCCTGGGGAGCAGGGTACGAGGTGTCGCAGGGTTTCTGCGTACCATCTGTTCCGCCCATGGGTTGCGCCATGGGTTGGGGTGGGTGTGCCGCGCAATTCTGCGTGCCATGGGTTGCGCCCATGGGTGATGTCCAGGATTTTGTTGAATGCCATACGTTGTGCCCATGTGCTGCGCCGTATGCTTCGCCCGTGGGTTGCGTCCCTCGGCTGCGCTCTGTGTTGCTTTGCATCGACTTCTATTGCGTTGCGTTAGTTTGCGTTGCTGTTGGACTACTTTGCTATGTTTTACTTTCTTGTTTTTTTCTAAAATCCGATTGCATTGGTTCGAGTTTCGTCGCGCTGCTTGAACTTGGTTCACGCTGCTTGCCACTAGCTCTGGTTGCCGTGTTTTGCTGTAATCTTTGCGGCCACATAGATTGGACTAGTTCATGGTTTTGAACCCACGCTGGAATCAGCATTGCGTCTTTGATATGCACACTTCTCCAAGGCGTTAGTCTTCGTATAGGTTTATGTTGACTTCCGCTCGCTGTGCTTCACGATGAGTATGTGCCTCCCTCTGTATATAATTGCCACTTGTTTCGCTGTTCAGAGACTGCTCGACACCTCTTTCAAGGGTGCCTCAGCATGGACATGCCAACACGTTGATCAAGGCGAGGAGAAGGGGAGATCCTTGTCGCTGTCAGTTCTGTAGCAGCCGGCAGGGCACGGCGAGACAGGGAACACGACGGCTTGAGCACAAAGGGTTAAGCGCCATCTAAGGTAGAAGTTGTTGGCATGGCCGTACGTTCGGCCGACGTTATCCTAACACGTTTGCTCGAGTATCTACTTCCGATGCGCAATGGCTCAGCCTGTGCACGCGCGTTTGAGTCTGATGCTTTGTGTGTAAGGGCAATCTGGAATCAAACAAGAGCAACTGCCATAAACATACTTTGTCGACGCTCCGCGGGGATTCCTTGGACCTGCCCCTGCCCCCCCCGACGATTATGCAGTTCTTCCCCTCTTTGGAGATTTGCGCCCTCGAGGTACAAATCGCTCGGGATATCCCAAGTCCTGCATGCGTGTAGGCCTTCGAAGCCCCGAGGCCTCGGGTTCGCAGTCGCCCGACACGCAGATCGCCCCGCTGATGGACATCTCCGCGGGCATCGGACCCGGGACGCCGGGGCGCTGCCAAATGTGCGATGGCGCTGGGCGCTTGCCAGGCCCACCTTGCGCCCCGCACTGGTGCGCCCACCGATGCCCTCGCTCGTATCCCCCCTTCCACTATCGGCGGCGAGCGAGGGGGAAGCGGGAAGGATAATGCCTTCTCAGGATGCGGCGGGACTTCTCAGACGTCGTCGCGCCCTGCGAGAAGGCTTCTGCGTCTTGGGGGTAGGTTTCGAGCACTTCCCCAGAAGGTTTGGGGACTTCCGAGCCGTCTGCGAAGGCCCGCCCCTTCTCACTCCCCCCCTCGCTCGCCGCTGACACCAGGTCACCCCCAGGGTTAAATCGGGCCTGTCCTTCTACAGGAGGAACATTGGGGAATAATCAGAATATAGTGTGGGGACAATTTTTTTGACTATTTCTTGACCAGTTTTGAACTTGTTTCGACTATTTTTAATGTTTTGTTCAGAGTCCGCCTGCGGTACGGCACGCCCGACTTCACCCCAGGGGCGCGCAGATGGTCGCTCTCCGCGCAGCCGCGGCTTGAGGTTGGAGGGCTGCCTGGTCCCAGCGAGGGCGGCGCGAGAGGAGGAGGAGGAGGAGGAGGAGGAGGAGGAGGAGGAGGAGGAGGAGGA